TACTCCGATTTTCTTCTAATCAGTTTCTTAATCTACAAGGAACGTCCTCTTTTGTGCAAAATAATTTTATAGGTTTTATTTAGCAACATTTTCATTGCTTCCTTTGATAGAAATTTAGGATGAGAAAGGATTTTTGAAGTAATCTGACATCTTCCCCTTGACTGAGAAGAGGGCTAAGGCCCTCAGAGGCTCAATTACGCACAGCTGAAAAACACGAAAGCCAAGCTAAAAATAACCCAGGCCAGGGTAGTTTATTGCTTCTTTAGTCTCATTTTCATTTCAATTATATACTCCTAAACTAGAGGGAGAATTCTTTAGTGTTAAAAAGTAGTGTGATTTAAGAGATGTGTTCAGTTAAGTGCTGGTCAGGACGTGCCGGTAATCCCAACTACGTGATGCCACAGCGAGGACACAGGGCTGTGTGGCTGCGGTACTTCTGCCCAATCTTGACTGTTATTTTCACAGACTGGGCACAACACACATGAACCTAAATATCTTCTGTGCAGATTCACTTGTCACGTTTTAAATTTCCAGAAGAATCAGACTCTTACAGCTTAAGTTTAAAAGAAGGTAACTTAGAATTTTGGACTTGGCTTCTAAAGGGCAGACAGGACCCAATTGAACCAGGAAGGTTCAGAATGGATACATCTTTAAGAAAAAAAAATGAGGCTCTTGTTTGAATTACATTTTTAGGTCACGAGAATAACCTTCAGTGCCCTTGATCTGCCCAACTGTAAGCTCCTTGAGAGTAAGAGCACTTTTTTATTTTTCTTAGTTGCCCCAGGGCCCACCAGAGCTCCTAGCATACAGCCAGTATTCAGCAAATTATGTAAAAGGGGATGGTAAGAACAGATGGGAAGGGTCTCAGGAGACTAGGAGTGGCTGTAAGCAATGCTCTGTGAGACAGTAGCTTTATGCTGAACCTGAAATGTTCCAGATACACACATATATAAATAATTTGTGGTTATTTAACAATAAATTATTACTTTGTAAAGTTACTGCTTTGGTTATTATTGGTTATTTATTTTAATAAAAAAGTAATGAAAATAATAAATAATTCTGAATTTCCCAAAGGTTCCTAGGCTTTACATATGAGAAAGAAGTTTCTACACAGGGACTTGGATTTGTGAATATGAAAGAGAATATTATTGGAATGAAATAAAGCTAAGAAATTCTATTCCATGCTCTTCATATTTCTAAGGGAAAGAAGGAGAGGGAGGAGAAAAAAAAGAAAAGAAAAAAAAAAAGAGAAAGGTACAAACTCCCGAAATGACTCCCCAGCTCCATTTCTAGTGATAGGTCAAAAATTGAACCTACAAGAGCTTCAAGATTTCTTATGAGAAACTGTAGTAAGAAAAATACAATGACTCATCTCATAATAATGCCCTTTCTTCCCAAAATACACATCACAATTCCCACATCCCTGGCACAAGAGCACGCGGTGTGGAGCTATTGCAACATGAGGTAGCTCCCTGCACCAGTGTCCCTCCGTGGACAGTGGGGAACAGACCTCCCTGGAGCTGCAGGGGTCAGGGGGCAGCATGGCTGTACTCATTCTGCACCTCTCCCTCCAAAGAGGGGGATCACTCCCTTTGTACTGCTTTGTCTGCAATAGCGGTTCTTTTGTGCAGCCGCCTTTTTAAGAATGAGGAGCTGTGTGCAGCTGGCTTCCTTGTGCACAGCAGTTCTGAATAGGCTCTCCCAGATTTCCCCACCAACTGTCACTTAGACACCGAGGACCAAAAGGATAGAAGAAAAAAACGAAGGAAAGGGAATCTGCGACTCAAGGCTACAGCATGAGTAAGGTGCCCAGGCAGCGGCTCGGTACTGGCTCACGCCTTCTGTAGCTGGAAAGAGAGTTCAATAAGCAGTTATAGGAAAGTAACTGAAGCTTATTGCCAAAGAAGTACCTCCAATACGGCTCCTGAGGAAGCCAATCCCCCAGACCTTGCCTAGTGAGATGATCCTTGAGAATAACTACCAAGAGAAAATGAGGTGGATCCTGCCCTGTGGCAAACAGCAATGTAAACTGATAAAAGATTTCAAAGCTCTATAGAAAATAGAAGTTCAGAGAATACTCACAGGAGAGAGAACGGGGCATCACTGGCTTTGGGCAACTGAACTACTAGAATATAAGGGAATAAGCATGCCACCTCTGCACAGAAGGCAACTCTGGGAGGGAAGGGCTACTTATTGACCCTTAAATAGATGGGACAGGAGGGCTCTGCAGAGGCAAATATCAATGAAGATAGAGTTCTAAGACAAGTGTAGTGGAAGGACTGTTTTGTGGTTAGCTGGATGGTCCATCTGCTTGACCTGGATATTTTATTGTTTATAGGGACAAGCTTGAAAGGTGGTAGACTGGAGGCCTGTGAGAAGGGAGAATGTACAGGTGAGAAGGCCAAGCACAGGTACACAGAGCCTGTGTCCAGGGATGGAGCTGCATCAGGCTTAGTTGACTTGTGTGGGTGCGGATGGAAAATGAGTGAAGATATGGTCAGAGGTGGGAAGAAAGGGCAGCTGAAGAGACAAGGTCTAACCACATCTAAGAGAATTACTCAAAACAGTGAAAGATCCTCATGATGTAAATGGCGTATTTCTTATAAGCTAACTTGGTGGACTCTGATAGTATTATCACTAGATATCAGAACATTCTGAAGATAAAAACAAACAAACAACAAAACCTGTACTGGCTCAAGTAAAAGGCTCAGACTAGTTAACTTGTAAGAATGAAAATTCTTAACATTTAGAAAGTCCTTAAGATTATAGGACTTATATGACAGCAGCTATAGAAAACTTATATCTGTATAAATATCAGTGCCCCTAAGGAAGATAGTATTTCAGTTGTACTGAGATGTTTTAATTCAACCTTAATAATTTAAGTATCAATATCATATATCATACAAGATCTCATTTATTCTGTATCCCATCTAAAATAAATGATACTTTCTAGTACACTTAATTGTTTTCTTAAACCATAGGTCAATTTCTTCATTGCTTTGAGTTAGTTAAGTTATCCTAACATATAAAAACCCTGGGTCCATCACAACTGGAGGCTCAACAAACTGGAAGTTAGTCTTGCAGTTGCAACCCAGCACTGACTGCTATGGCAGCAGGCGCGGTGACCCAGCACTGACTGCTTAGGGGGCTGCGAATCAGGCCTGGAGAGAGGTCTGAAGAGATAAGCAGGTTCTGATCTGTAGCCTCTTTGGTAGCTGTTGATCAGCACTTGCCTTTCTCTTTCTTTCTGGGCATGGCCAGCAGCCGCACCTCCATTTTTCTCTAGGCCTCCACCAGGGCTTATCAGCCTCAGCTTTCTGATAGGCCCACAGACGCTGACTGACATAGAAACCAAACATTCAGAACCAAATCTGTGTGAAGTGTGAAGAGCCAATGGCTGCATAGGAGGTGGAGCTTTCGATACTGGCATAAAAACTGAGCAATCAGAACAAAATCTGGTCAACTGTGAGAATCCAATGTCTGCCTAAGAGGCGGAGCTTTTGACACTGACTGGCATAGAAACTGACTAATCAGAACCAAATTGGCCAGCAGAGGAGGGTAGTTAGGGGTGAGATCAGGCCTGCAGGGGAGGGCAATTAGAGGCAATCAGGCCAGCAGGGGAGGGCAGTTGGGGGTGAGATCAGGCCAGCAGGGGAGGGCAGCTGGGGGCAATAGGGCAGCAGGGGAGCTGTTAGGTGTTAATCAGACTGGATGGGGAGCAGTTAAGGGGTGATCAGGCTTGGCAGGAAGGTGAGCGGTTGGAAGCCAGCAGTCCTAGATTGTGAGAGGAATGTCCAAGATTGGAGAGGGTGCATGCTGGGCTAAGGGACACCCCCCCACACATGAATTTCATGCACCAGGCCTCTAGTATTATAATATACTTGTTTGCCAATAGCATTACTTTTAGTATTTATTAATTTACTAAAAAATTAAAATTCTAAAAATATTACAAACTATAAAATTTTAATGCTTTTCACCAAATTTGCTTCAGAGTTTTATTGATATATGAAGAAATTAGGTTCATGTTGGCTTTTCTGATGCGTGTATTTGCTTCAAATGAAGCACCTACATTTAAATATAAGTTCTCTGCCTTTTACTTTTTCTGGGTCTCCATTAACCCTTATTGCCTCTAAAATACTCTCCCTAAGTATTTACTTAAGATGAGATAAGAAGTTGTTTTTAGACGGTATGGGCCAAATTTCAAATGTATTAGAAATAAACATAAAGGGTAAATTAATAATCCCATAAATTATTTTAGAAGCATAATCATGTCATATACTTCATATCCAGGTTAATGTCAGCTAGATTTTTTTTCATCTGTTAAAGTTTTACAACATATATCCAAAAACATGAAAAGGTTTGTATAGAAATAAGTTCAGATAGACTGGTTGTGTGGCCAGCAAGAAAATACACACACTCACATACAAAGAGACTCTCTCCAGTGCAATATTACTGAAGTTTTCTATATCTACTTGTCTGAATAGTGATCTCCAATGAAAGAGTAACAGGATGTGATGGAGCTTAAGACTTAGCATGAGAAAAGAAAAAGAAAATGAACCCTATCAGCTAAGAAATAACACACTGGGGAAAAGTACTGGTTCTCATGAAAATGTCAGTGATTCACCATGGAATAAAATTCAAAAGCCACTGACCCCAATGAAAGCTTCCAGTGGAAACATGTGGATTTTGCTTTATTTCATTTAAAGACTTTGCTTTATTTCATTTAAATACTATCCTAAACACCATCACAGTTTTTATAAAATGTTGCTTTCTCATTTAAAATGGATATGGAAAAAAATATTCCTGATCAAACTAAATTTCCAAGTGGTCTTAATAGTATCAAGCAAAACAGGTAGTACATATTGATCACTTAATGTATGTCCCTTAAGACATACATTAAGTGATCAATAGCCAAATCACAACAAGAAAAAATACTTTAAAAATATTTACAATAATTCAATATTTAAGCAGATTTGCTTATAGAATTTTTTCATACATACCAATTCTTCATTCTGCCTTGAAAGATCACAGCTGAATGCAAGCTGACTTACACAGACCACAAATCTATCAGGGAATACACGAAGTTCTGTATAAAATGAAGAAAACCAAATTACTAAAGGCATCAAAAACCTATGAACACAGAACTGGGTGATCCCAGATTTGTAAGTTACAGCAATAAGCATATTATGTATGAGACACAAATATCCCCTCCCCACCTTTCTGTGTTTGCCGACAATAGGGCAGGGCATGCACAAAGCTTTAGGGAATGCAGAGGAGGCTGCAAATAGGTCCATCTGAGCCCTTGGACCATTCTATCACATGAAACCCCCAGACAGGGTGTGTCAGTTTGCTGTGTTCTGTTCAGAACTTACATTTGGGAAACAGGATCAATGTTTCTAATGTGTGGGCAGACTTACATAGGACAAGGAAGAATATTAGATAAAATCTGAAAATGTGACTTGTGAACATTCTTATTAGTTTGTCTATCATATCCTTGGTTAACTGGTCTTAGAGAAGCCCTAAAATGGAGGGCAAACTCTCAATCTGAATCAGGCTATGAGAACAGCAGTTTCATTAATTGGGAATTAGTGATCAAATTATTAAAAGGAAGTGGTTAAATATGCAATAGTAAAGATGATACAACTACACCAGTTACAGTAATCTAATTATTATAGCCTCTTAAAGCAAAAGACTTCTGGGTGGGGAAGGCTGAAAGAATCACAGAACTGAACTCAACATTCAATGAAAGGAATATAAAATGATAAATGCTATCTGTGTCTCTATTTCTCTCATCTGTCCGTCCATCAGTCAGCCCATCCATCCATTTATCCACCCCACCTACCCACCTACCCAGCCTCCACCTATCTCTGGAGTGATGTCTGAAGTGATGTTTAGCTGATACTAACGATGTATTTTCTGAGTGGCTGGGGAGGGTCTTCTCCTCCCTTCTCTATACTTGGTTGTACTGCTAGAATATTTATAATACACATGTATCACATTTATGACAGAAATAAAGCCATTTTTCTAAAAGAGAAAACTTCTCTCTTTGATGTGTCCAATTCTTTTAAAAGACAGATGTGAATCAGATAAGTGAAGCCTTTTATATACATTGCACATTCCCAACAATGAATGACAATGTGAAGGCACTGACTAAATTAATAGCATATCTCAATCTGATGTACTTGGAGGCCTAGCAGGAAGGTGTCAATTATGCAAACACAGAACTTAAAACACAATTTACACCTTTCACACTTGGCTTCGTTCAATTATAGCAAAATCCCAATGAGCTGATATTCCAGTAACAGCTCTCTACCTCTAACCTGGACCACTGCTATCTCCCTGGTGACTACTCTTTCCTATCCCAATTTATTCTACTAAGTGCAAGCAGATTAACAGTTCTAAAAAACAACTCCATTTACTGTGCTCAAACTCCTATCATGGCTCCTTAAGGCCACCACATACTATGAAAATATCCAAAACCCTCTATGATGGGACCTAATCTGTAGTTCTAGTCTTATCCCCATTAGTCTTGCTCATATAAAAACCTCCATTTCTAGAATTCTGGGCATACTTTGACCCCTCATGGATACCATAGATGGCCAGGTGGCCAGAAATGAGCTTTGAAAAGCCAGAAAACCAAAATTATCAAAGCAGCTAGTATTTATTCATTAATTCTTAAAATATCCTATTGTAATAAGTGGTGTCTGGCTTCCCACTTTATGGAAAGGGAAACTGAACCATAAAATGTATTATTTGGCACTCTCCCTCTCCCCAATATCATTAACACTGAAATACAACTTGTTGGAGGACCGGAATTAAAATTCAAAATGATCAGTTATATCAATTATTAGTGGATCAGAACCAGAATTCAAAGTTAATCATTCTATCAAATAATTCCTCTGTTCTGTTCTTCCCTTTCTTCCTCTAAAAAATAAGGATAGAACATTTTGGTGCCAGGTGTTGTGCAAATAGAAAGCAACTGTATCCCTTTACTCTAATTAGGTCATATTTGAGATTTTCATTACTTTAATCCTATCTAATAAAATAGTATGCAAACTGACTGTCACTCCAACACACATGATGGCTTCCCCCAGTAGTCAAAGATGTTTGCCCCCGTGTGAACACAAGATGGCCTGGCTGCCACAAGATGGCCAGCAGGGGAGGCAGTTGGGAGGGACCAGGCCTGCAAGGGAGGACAACTGTGGGCGATCAGGCCAGCATAGGAGGGCAGTTGAAAGGGACCAGGCCTGAAGAGGAGGGCATTGGAGGGGGACCAGGCCTGCAGGGGAGGGCAGTTGGGGGCAATCAGGCTGGCAGGGGAGCAGTTAGGGGGTGATCAGGCTGGCAGGCATTAGCAGTTAGCAGCAATCAGGAAGGCAGACAAGCGAGCAGTTGGGAGTCAGCAGTCCTGGATTGTGAGAGAGATGTCTGACTGCCTAAGAGATGTCTGACGGGCAGTCAGACATCCCTCGAAAGGTCTCAGATTTGAGAGGGTGCAGGCTAAGCTGAGGGACACACCACCGGGCCTGTAGTATTTAAATAAAGTAAAGATTTAGGCAACAGCCACCCCCACCAGAAAGGGTAGCTAGGCTGCATTTAACAGATAGAGGTTAACTGGCATATATTACTAAGAGAACTGAGTAACATGGACAGACCCATTAAGAGAGTAATATAGTCAAGTGACACTGAAAGTTGAGAAATTACGGATAATTGTGAAGATTCCAAGAGAAAACCTTGAAGTCCCTGTTTCATAGCTTATATACTAAAATCATGCATGGAAGTTGAACTAGATTTTCTTTCCAATGCTCAGATCAACTTTGAGAATAGTCGTTAGCATCTGACTTTATTGTTGTTGGCTGGATGAGTTTAACATCATTTCCTCAGTGGACATCTTGACTTGGGGAAAATGGGGGGGAAGCTGGCCTGGTCACACACCTAGGAAAGGCTGGGAAAGCATTTTCTTGTGCACACACTTGCTCCACATCCTAGGGCCTCAGTGTGCACAAACAATGATGAAGTGATTCATAGTTTGCCTGCCGGGAAGCTCAATGAAAGTGCTGAGATGCAGCAGAAAAGCACAGTGTAGTGTGGCCCAGCTAACTGTTCTCAGGCAGGCAATAAACAGCAAAAATGGAAAAAGAAATAATCACATATTTTGGAAATACTCTTACTTAGTACTTCAATTTCATAAAGATAACAAAGCAGGTAGGGATCATCATTCCTTAATTACATCCCCTTTCAAGGGCAAGCTAGCTGTGCAAAATGCCTGACAACCCAAGAAATCAGTTTCTTACCAGGACTCTGTGAACCCCCAAAGCAGCGAAGGCGTATCCCTCTCTTGAGGAAATAGGCTGAGATTTGAAAGCCATAACCTGTAAAGTGAAAGAGGATTCATTAGGTTAGAAGCTTGTTTGCACTGAGTCCCCTGGGCCAAGTCCAGTGCCTGCCATCCAGTATGTATTCAATAATTATTTAGCAAATGAAAGAGTACAAGAATCAATAAAGGACCTCACTTGAGAGAAAGGAGTGAACATTAAAATCTTGGCTCTTCTAGGAGGCCTGGCCATAGCACCTGGGATGGTCCCTAGTCCCTGAAATGGCTCAGTCACTTTATCTATAAAGTGGAATAAATAAGGAGGTCTGACAGAGGCCTAAAAACCAGGCCCTTCACATGGGGCCATTAATTCAGGCTGAGTTAATACATAGATCTTGGCCACCTTCTGAAGCTCATTATTTATGAGCTCACAAAAAGAATCATTTAATACCTATTTGAAAATGTGTATATTTGGCTATAAATAAGTTATTCTAAATCAAGTATAGCAAAACATTTATATACTAATAGGATGAAATGGGGGGAAAAATGTGAGGGGAAAAAAAAAAGTAAATTCTTTAATTCATTAGAATGACCTAAATGAAAAAAACTAAGACATCAAGTACAGGCAAGAATATGGGCAAACTTGCCAGGACCGGTTTGGCTCAGTGGATAGAGCGTCGGCCTGCGGACTGAAAGGTCCTGGGTTCGATTCCGGGCAAAGGCATGTACCTTGGTTACGGGCACATCCCCAGTAGGGGGTGTGCAAGAGGCAGCTAATCGATTATTCTCTCTCATCAATGTTTCTAACTCTCTATCCCTCTCTCCTCCTCTCTGTGAAAAAGTAATAAAATATATTTTAAAAAAAAATATGGGCAAACTAGATTTCACATACCCTGTTGAAAGAAGTACAAATTGGTACAGCCACTTTAAATATCTGCTTTAATATCTTTAGCAGAACTTAAGCATGAATATACAGGTGTTCATAATAACACTTTTTATAATAGTCTCAATCTGGAACCAATATGAATATCCATCAATAGAAGTTTTTAGTAAAAAAGAAGGGGGAAGGAGGGGATAGCGACACAGTGAAATACTACACTGTCCCTAAAAATGAATGAGCTACAAATACAGGCCATATCAGAAATAAATCTCACAAGCATAATGTTAAGTGAAAGAAGCCTGGTCCAAAGGAGTTCATCCCATCTATGAAAATGGAGATATCGCCATTCATCTTATAGGGTGGCAACAGAATTTCAGGTGATGCACACACAGAAAATACAAGCAAGTCCTTCCCTCCCTCCCTCCCTCCTTTCCTCCCTTCTTCATTCCTTCTCTCCCTCCCTCCCTTCCTCCCTCCCTCTCATCTTCATTCCTTTCCTCCCTCCTTTCCTCCTCCTTCCTCTCCTCTCTCCTCCCCTTCGGTTCCCTTCCCTTCCCTCCTCTCTCCATTCCTCCCTCCCCTGCCAGCCCCCATCCAGTTATAAACTACTCTGTTCGATGACTTTACTGAGATTAAATAAAAATGTTCCCATTCACATGGTGGAATACTTGGTGGAAGAACCAGAAATGAAAGGCCTGCCAAAGAGGGGTAAGAAGCCTCAAGTTCTAAAACAACCTCAGAGATAACATTTTATCCACAAAATTGGAGAAGCCAGGAGTTGTAAGAGGTAGTCTCCAAGACCATCAGCTTCTCCAAAGTCCATGACTCTAAATGTGTTGAAATAACTTGTACATGATAAAGAACACAAAGAAGTTTCCACTTTTACATTTGGTAGCCTTCTAGCACTCCTGTAGAAAGATCAGGAACACCAGTGACCACAGACTTGATGTTCTGTCTACGTAAATATGGTTCTGACAGCACAATTGCTTTAGTCACAGGGATTACAAAATAATAGTGACATCTATGATGGGGTAATCTACAAATTAACTGAGATGAATTTTTTCCTAACACACTTCAAACAGATTGCATTTTGATCACATGTTTTCTCTGCTTACCCTGTCAAAATATGCAAACCGTTGGCATTATCCTGAGTGTTTCTAAACAAATACTTCATTCCTCAGGTCACTGAGAAAGTGGAAGTGACCACCATATCTGTTTATTTGTACTACTACTGAGGTGAGGGATATTGCAGGAGAGAAGTCCTTTACAATTTGAGATTCACACACACATAGAAAACTTTAAAAGTGATTTAAAACATAGTGATCTAGTCCTGGCCAGGTAACTCGGTTGGAGTGTTGCCTGTCAGAAGGCTACTGGTTTGATTTCCGGTCAGGGCACATACCCAGGTTGCAGCTTCAATCCCCAGTCAGGGCGCATAAGGAAGGTGGCTGGTTGATCTTTCTTTCTCTCTCTCTCTCTCTCTCTCTCTCTCTCTCTCTCTCCCCTCCCCTTCCTTCCTTCCTTCCTTCCCTCCCTTCCTCTATCCCCTTTCCACTCCCTCTAAAAAATCAATAAACATGTCCTTGGATAAGGATATAATAATAATAATAATAATAATAATTAATAATAAGATCTATCATGTATATCTTCCAAAGGACTGAATAAAAAAAAATAATACCATGTACCCCAATGTTTATAGCAGCACAATTTACAATAGCTAAGATTTGGAAACAGCCTAAGTTCCCATCAACAGATAAGTAAATTTAAAAACTGTGGTACATCTATACAATGGAATACTATGCTGCTGTAAAAAAGAAAGAACTCTTACCATTTGCAACAGCATAGATGGACATGGAGAGCATTATGCTAAGTGAAATAAGCCAGTCAGAGAAAGATAAATACCACATGATCTCTATCATATGTGGAATATAATGAACAATATAAACTGATGAACAAAAATAGATCCAGAAACACAGACAGATTGAACAGACTAAATTTCAGAAGGGAGGCAGGGGAGAGAGAGGGTGGGTAAGAGATCAACAAAAGGACTTTATGCATGCATAAAGTATAACCAATGGACACGGACACTGGGGAGGTGAGGGCATGTGCTTGGGAGTGGCAGTGGCAGGGGAGACGTCAAGGGGGTTAAGGAGACATATGTAATACTTTAAACAATAAAGAATTATAAATAAGTAAATAAATAAGTAAATAAATAAATAAATAAATAAATAAATAAATAAATAAATAAAGTAACCTGTTGAAGTATACGTATATTTTTTAAAAGCAATACCTAACTCATTCTGCCTTTGTTGGCAGGTCATACTTAATGCTTATAGTTCTTAGTGATTAAGTTTTAGATGACATGTTTGAAATTTTAAAAATATTCCCTGTATAAAATCTCTAACAATAAATATTATTATTAGGAAGAGGCTAAATTTAAAGGTGACTATAGAAGCTACAGCTATGAGTTCAGGAAGCCTGGTATCTGGAGATACCTCTTGAGTGATAACTAAATCTTACTTGATCAGCTGAACAATAAAGTTCCAACATGGCACATTCCCCTATAGAACAATAAAGCAGTATAAGAATAATTCTAACTAAGTGATTTATTACTGGAATTATTAGCAGAACTGAATTTATGAAAACCTTCCCCCTTATACTCCCCTCCCTCAGGATAGAATTATGTTAAAAGGAATCATTCCTAAACTGGTCTCTTGGTTTGGGTTCCATGGAAAAACCTGCCTGGTGGCCCCTAAAATAGAAGTGGCAAATTTAACATGTAAAAGAATTTTTGCACTTGCTTATTCCAAATTCCCATGGCCATAGGAAAGTTTATTGCTTAAAGAGAAACTTAAAGAGAGATTGAATACAATAGATCCTTGTGCCAGTTCTTACGGCAAACAAATCTATATATATACAAGCCTAAGTAACTGCTATGACTGAACAGAACGACGGGTCGTCCAGTCACTATGATGCGCACTGACCACCAGGGGGCAGACATGCAACACAGGAGCTTCCCCCTGGTGGTCAGTGCACTCCCACAGTCAATCTCCCATGGTCCCTCCCCCCAGCCAGCCTGTCCCCATCATCCCCTGTTGCTAAACCATTTGTAGATTACCAGCTCTTGAGTTGGGGTTTTGTATATAGTAGAGCAGCTCTCTCCCTGCGATCTATTGAAAGTCAGCCTTCGACACAAGGGTCTGTCTCACTCCTGTCCTCTCCCTTCCCTGGGGACTGCCCACCCACCATGGTAGTGGTGCGGCAGTGTGTGTGTGGGGGGGGTGGTGGCAGGGAAACACGTACTGGTGGGCACTGAGGGAAGCATCAGCGTCCATTCCTTCCATGCCCGCATGGCATCACCTCTTCTCCCAATCCCGCCATGGCCTTCTGGCCGGGGTTGGGATGGGGAATCAGGGGTACGTGGTGATGGATGCAGTCCCTTTCCCAGGGGGGGAAGAGGGCCAGCTCCTTCCTCATGGGCGGTGGCCAACCTCCCATGGTCCCTCCCCTGGCTGGCCAACCTCCCACGGTAGCCCCCACCCCTGCCCTGTGCACAAATTCATGCACCAGCCTCTCATTTTGACATAAAGATAAATCACTGCTGGTGAAACAGACTGAAATGGAGTCCTTAGGGAAAAGTATTTCATTTATCTATTGATAACAGGCAGTGATAGTGTCGATAATCTTCTATCTTTGCTCTTTAATGACAGCGCAGAGTTCAGTAGGCCACTGAGATTTTTGTACTTACTCAGGGCTGAAGCAAAGTTCCACTATTTTTTAAAGTTAAATAGCAACTTGGCAGAGAATACAGGAGACCCTTTGCTTTCCTTCTAGGAGCACCAGCTCCCAGCTTGCTACAATGATGTTCTAAAGGCACAGATCTCCTGTTAGTAGGAGATAGTGAGGCTGGTGATGATGGCTGGGGTGGTGGGGGAGCAAAATGAAAATAAAATTGATATACTTTTCATTTGAAAACACCTTGATAATGGTATTCCAAGATTTTGAGGCACTTGTAAATCATATTTAAGTATACCTGCCTTCTTGCTAGTAATTATTATAGTCTTCCTAAGTCTGAAAAGACTGGCTTTAGAAACAAAAGAAATTGAGGTTAAAGGGAGGACAGCTTTGTTGTGGAAGCATCTTTCCACCAAGAATCTTCAGGTCTATGTATTTCTAGA